AATCTCTTTAAAAAAACTGAAACTCTGACTTCAGGAAGTCATCACAATATAGAAACTGCAGCCCCGAGGAGGAGCTTCGCCTAGGAGGCGGGGCTAGGTCCCATCAGGCATTTTGCAGTGCTGAACGGTTGACACGGATATTCAGCGACTCCTCAAACATTCTCAAGGCAACACTCCAGGTACATTTTTGATGAGAGAATAATGTTATAACATGACACAAAGCTAAAAAAAAATGGATTTAGCATAATACTGCCCAGTTTATAAGGATAAAAATATACTAGTTCTATTGGTAAAGTATTTCACTTTAAACATTTTCCCATATTACAAGTGAAATGTGCCAGTGGAACCTATATTTTTTAATCAAGATTCAGGAATCACTGCCTTAAAACAAGCTTCTCTATCTTTCTGAAAAGTTATTTGTAAGTTATTTTTGTCTTACGTCAAGTATGCTAAGATATTTTGCATTAGAGACCAAAAATACTTTGTAAGATTTGCAGTGCAACAGCAGTATGACACATGATGAACCTCCGAGACTATAAAGTCGCTAAACCTGCTCGCATCCTCAACCAATTTAGGAATTTCTACAAATAAATAAGAGGAAGGCTTAAATTTGGAGAGGAAAGTCAATTTGGGACAGGAATTTGGCTAAATGTGTACAGGGTGGGACTGTCCATCTGAAGCTGTCTGGTATAATAGCTTCCACAGGATTTATTGTATTAAATAGAGGGGGCGTGAGTAGCAGTTTGTGCGTTCCTACATGATGAACGTCATTCCTCTTCACAACCTCCGCCCTAGCTTTCAGCCTCCTCCCGTAACAGTGCAGGCCCTTCTTCCATTTGGGTAGCGTCGTGCACCACGTGGCTCGTGGAGGCCCCTCATTTATTCTCAGCCTTATCACTTCAGGGCGGCCTGCTTAGTCTCTCACACCAGCCACACATCGTTTGAAAGGTACAGTAGCCATGCTCTTGCCTGCAGCTGTTTCTAATGAACCATGTGCTCTGCAGAAAGAGAGCTCTGGGCTTCCTGTGACTGAAAATGACTTTGTGCTTAGAGCGCCTTGCAAGGCATTCATACCAGTGAACTTCTTCACGTGCTGGCGTGTTACAACCACAGATTGCATCAACCTTCCAGACCTCTCAGGTCTTCCGGTTCTGGTCTGCTCTGCATCCCCAGAACCAGAACCAAGAGAGGAGAAGCAGCTTTCAGCATCTATGCACCAAAACTTTGGAACAAACTTCCAGAAAACTGTAAAACAGCAGAAACCCTGACTTCTTTTAAATCGCAATTAAAAACACATCTGTTTAGAATTGTTTTTGAAATGTAATATGTAACAATGTATTGTCTATTATATGTTGCATGACTTTGTGTTCTTGTGTTTATGATGTAAAGCACTTTGAAATGCCTTGCTGAAGTGTGCTATACAAATAAAATTTGATTGATTGATTGATTGATTAAAGGGGCAGTGCCATGTGAAACCTACTTTTTAGAGGTTTACATCTTGTTGTGACGTGATTCCCTTATCAAAAACATACCCGGAGTGTTGCTTTGATTCTTTCACGCATGTTTGAGAAATCCTTCAATTTCTTGTGGCAACTATTCAGCAGTGCAAAATGTCTGGTTGGACCTAGCCCCGCCTCTTAGGCGAAGCTCCTCCTCGGAGCTGCAGTTTCCATGCAGCTCCCTTTAACTTTAAGGCAAAGTTAAAGAGACAGAGACCCCATTTCAATTATAGACTCATTGCTCTGAGTGTTTGTATGATAGACCAACATAAAGTAGTGCAGAATTAAAGTGAAAAAAATACATATTTGAAAGCATTTATGCTTCAGAATCTAAAAAGTAGGACATGTATTTGTAATCAGCCACCAAATGCTGTTTCCCACTTACCTCGGAAGTTGGAACTCAGAGCTGGGTTTGATGTCACAGTGTTTCACTTCACAGAGTCGGAGAAGTCGGGATGTCAGCATGGAATTGATGGCAATACATCATTTTAAACTTTCAATAAACCTTGACCCGTAGCATTGTTTCAAGACACACTCTTGCAAGTGGCCATACTGAAACGCAAAGTTGGCATTACAAGTCGTAGCTAAGGGTAGTCGGAGTGGCTTTTGCTATCCAAGCGTAAAATCCGACTTGGGAAGGCATTCCAATTTATTTTTCCGACTTGGAAGTTGAAATTTTCCAGTTTCATACAACTGGAACGTAGCATGTCAGTCCTTAATCACTCCAAATCTTTCTTTAGGGGCATTAGAGTAAAATGCACCCTACGTTTTCCTTTCACTTCACAGTAATTCATTGTGTTCTGTTGATCTCTCCCAATAAAAATGTTATAGTCTGTGGTGGTGACATAAAAAGTTCTGCAAAAATTCAAGGGGTTTAAATCTCTTAGCAAATCATTCAAAGTCTTGTTTTTGCTCTACAAAAAAATTCAGGCGTCTCATTGCTGGGAATTCTACATTAAACTTGCATGGTTTGATTCACGAATGTCAAACACAGACATAAGGATGACAGAACAAGAAAAACAGAGCAACGTCTTGGCTGGTTTGGCCTCGTCAAACTGTGTACAAGATAATTTTTGTACTCATCCGATTCATGCTCCGAGCTCAAGTAAGCACAAAGTAACCAAGTATCTGTTTAAAATCACACACTAGCATGTGGCTGTGTGCTTCTGTTCTAGTCTCGTCTCAGTAAACTTGGCCCGGCTCTCTGTGGGGAGTGCTGTCACCGAGAAGCGGGGATTATTAGTGTTCTGATGGGAGGGCTGCTGAGCTGGGCATTCCTCTATAAAGGCTTTAAGAGACAATAAAAGTAAACAGAAATAAGAGCATGATGAAGGCGCTCTGGAAAGCTGATCAAAGGGAAGATGGCTGAACCGTTTCCAGGGGTGCATCCTTTCGATTCACACAGTGCCAACATCTGGAGTCCAGTTAGTTTGTCGAAATGTGTTTCAGTAAACTGCGCAGACAATCCACCGGAGAGACGTGGAATTCAAACCGACTTCTGGAACGCTGTGATACACAGCAGAGCTGCTGAGCCTGCAGCACCTATTTTTAACTTTTTGGCATCTAATGTACTCCAACTTTGGATCCACGTAACAACAGGGGGAAAGAAATGGTAGAAGGGGAAGTGAAGTGCAACATAAATCAAGGCCTGACATCAGGAGTGTCTCTTGGCTCCATGAAGACAACAACATCAATCACACCTTGGAAAACACCCTCCTTATCCAACTGATAAGGAGTTGCTACCTACATCCAGATTGCCCAGCTGGGTGTGTGTGCATGCGTGTGTGTGTGTGTTAGGTACATTTTGGACGGGAATGTGACTCACGGATGAAAAGGGACAGAAAACAGACAGGGTGAGTGTTTGAAGATCGACTTTGATGAGAAAGAGTGAGGCAAGGGCCATGTGTATCACTGGGAAAACATACACTTTGACCAATCCAAGTAACAGATTAGCTTTAAGGTCATTTCGACAAGAAGAACGACTAAATAGTAAATAGTACAAGTCGAGAAGAATCTACAATATGTTGTCTGTTAAAAAAAAATATTTTCACCCTTTTAACTTTTCCACATTGCAGCAACAAACATTCATGTTTACATTTGAGTCAAGATTGGTGAAAAACTAACATTAGCTTAAGTGCTATCAATATCATGTTGGCTTACACTAGCATGATGGCGACTTAGTCCATTCAGTAAGTCAACTTTAACCTGTAAGAAAAAATTAGCAAAAAAGCTAACATTAGCTTAAATAATATCAGTATCATATTGGCTTATACTAGCATGATGGCTAACATCAATATATTCCAATCAATTAACTTTAGCTTTTAAGTCAAAATTTAGCTAAAAAGGTAATGTTAGCTTAAATGCTACCAATATTATATTGACTTGTGCTAGCATGGTGGTTAACTTAGTCCATTCAGTTAATTAAAAATAGCTAAAAAGCTAATTAGTGTGTGAGTATTTTTGATGGTATGAAATAAACTGATACACACAAATATACACAAACTGTCATGTTGGACTTTATTCATAAAGGCTAACATGTCATGAATAAAGTGTTGCTCAACATTTATCTGTCAGTGGAACAAATGAACACTTTTGCCTGGCTGAATGTGCCTCTTGCAGTCTTCTGAAATGTGTAAAGTGTGACACGAGCCTTATAAGTGTTTTAATCTGATACTTGGAGTTGATTTAATTTATCCTTCCCTTTTCTCTCTTTTTTGAGTTTTCATTGTAAAGTATAAAAAAGCCAGATGAGGTCTCAGCAACTGATTATATGCTCTATAGCTATTAAAACCAATGCTAACTATGCTTTAGAATGTATATAAAGTCTCTACAGAGTCATTTGTGAAACAGGGATTGAGAATGGATAACCAAAAACAACATCATGTCCACCTTGTCTAATAGAATATCTTTTGCTTGTTGTACCACTTTTCTTTTTGTTAGACAGCAAATGTGTTTTACCAAAGAAGAGCGCTGGTGCTAACGTTTCTCTTTAACCGTAAGTTAGTTTCCTACATGAATATTCTGACTACTCAAGACTAATCCACACATCCACACTTTAAGGAAAGTAGCTGCCATTCAGCTCCATCATAAAGCAACCATGTGCCAGCGAGATGTAGCTTCAAGTAAGGCTGCAATTCGTTCTCCCGTTGCTCAAAAAGAAACAGTTTCAGCTGTATAATGTAATTGTGTAGTTTTCTGTAATAGTCTCTATGCTCGAGTCCTCGCTATAACAGCTTCCACCTGTTCCAAAGAACACAGTACGTGGGGGCTTGATTTCCTCAGCAGCGTTATTTACAGTAGATGTAAGATTACTTACTGGGAAGGTCCAGGAATATTCTTTTCACTGCCAGTGATGCGGTTTCTGTTGAATGTTAAAGCGAAACAGAAAAGGAAATAGGGCAGATTGGACGCGTATGCGCGCGCGGAGATGGGGTTAGGGAGGGCGCGTGCTGTCACACAGGGAGAGAGCGCGAGAGAGAGAGAGAGAGAGAGAGAGAGAGATAGACCCAGAGCTGCCATTCCGCCGCTGGAAGGTCTGGCAGGAAACTTTCTCATTCCTCTCCTCCTCAGCAGCAGCAGCAGTTCACCGTCTGAACCTCACATGTTCGGACCCAGCAGCCGGACCCGCTCACTCTAAAGCCATGGTTCTGCCGGTCCACGCTCCGTAGTAACGCTACTGAGGCTCGCGCACTCCGGGGGCGAACCTGAAGTAACCTGGAGACGCTTTGGACCTTCGTGACGGCGAGTTGTTTGGAACGATGGAGATTTTGCTTTGCCTCCTCGCCTTCGTGTTGACTCGGGAGGGTTCGGGTCTTGGATATGTCGCCGACTCCAGCGTTCAGGCGGGTCAGAGAGCGGCCAGCAGGCACAGGTGAGACCCCGGGGGGTTTTGGGGGTGGAAACATGATATTGTTTAATTCATAATTAAATCATGTTTGGACACCTCCACATATTTTGACGTCATTTGTGAAGTAAACTAATGAATCAATTATGAGTGTTTCCCCAAAACACTTTTTGTCTTTTCCTCACGTTCCAAATGGAAGATGACATTTTATTGGAATTTTATCCGATAGACCGACACGGCTGCATAAATAGGGCCGGGAAATTATCGTATCGTTTATCATTTATCTTGATAAGTTTATTGACAGGTTAAGATTTTTGATTTATCGTTATCACAATAATTTCCAGTTAATGTTAAAAAAAAGAAAAGAAAAACGCACTAAAATGTTATTTTTATTATTTTCTCCATTGTTTAATCCAGCATCAGTAATTAGAAGATTATTATTAAATGAAGTCTCTATATTAATCAGACTTCTTTAAGTTTGTGGCATCCTGCAGAAGCTTCTTTCAAATGGAAATAATTTTCAAGAGCAGAATTTATGTTTGTGGCGCTATAAATTTTGTCATGCAGTTACCTAAAAAAGAAGTACAAGGTAGTTTTAATCATTTTTTGACACTATCATAGGAATGCTGCGATAAAATTCTATGTCCATATCCCTGCATAAATTTTAAAGTAATCCCAAAAAGCATTATGTTTTCAAATTGGTTTTACAAACCTGAAATTGCATACAGTAATTTCAGGTTACTATATGCAACCTATTGTGAGTTATGAGGTGATGCTACAGTATTGTGAGTTATGAGGTGATGCTAAGTTGAACCACGTTTGGCTGAAAGATCACAGCTGCATGGTTTCAGTGTGTTTCTAAACCATGGTGCCACATGCGCAAATAATGTGCAGACTTAAGATTTTGTGCATTCTTCTTTTATGTACTTTTGAAGTCCTGCTGCAGGTTTCCAATTGGATTTAAGTTTGGACTTTGACTGGGCCGTCCTCAAATACAGATGCACTGGAAGATGAACCTCCGCCTTAGTCTCAGGTCTTCTGTTGCCTCTGACTGATTTCCATCCGGGATTGTCCTTTGTTCATTTCCCCAAACATCCTGACACCATGATGCTTCTGCTACTCAAGGTTTTGGACCAGAACAGCATGTGTTTACTGCCTCCTCCGTATGGCTTGTGACTGTACTAATATAGGCTTTATCTAAAAATTAAAACGGTCAACCTCGGCCTGTCAAATATTTCTTGTGGACTCTCTCTGTAGTTCCTTTCCTGTGATTGTCAGTTTACATGGACGGTCATGTCTGGCAGAGGTTTGCGGTTGCAGCATGCTCTACGTATGTGAACTCGGTGGGATATAATTTTATTATCTGCTTCCAACATTCGCTTTGACCTGCTTGCTGCGTCCCTTGGTCTTCATCATGCTGGTTCACTAAGAAACCTCTGAGTCTTTCATGGAACAGGCAGGTTACACTTCTAAGGGTTTTTGTTTGTTTAAAAACCATTTAACGCATGTCTGATTTTCCTTCCACTACACAATTTTGCCCCACTTTGTGTTGATCTATATTTGTCGTGTGAAATCTTAAGGAAATACATAGAAATGTCTGTTTGTAGCGGTCCAAAATTGAGTGAAACTACTTCTAAATGTGCTACATATCGATTTGTTATGATTTTAAACTCAGAAAAACATAATTTTCTGATTATTTAAAAGTGAACCTATGATTGATAAGTTCAATACAGTTGAATAAAGTGCCTTACCTTTGCAGAGAACCAATGAAAGGACCTCTGGAGTTACACATGCACTGACATTTCTTCTTTTTTCTTTTTTTTTTTTTTACAGGAAATGTCTCATTGGTTATTAGGACTCTTGCTCAGTGGGCGCTCTGAGTAAGAGCGCTGTGTGAGTGGGTGGGTGTGTTGGATGGTGTCGTGGGGATTCTTGGGATCCCTGAGATAGACAAGGACTGAGGACTACAAATATTTACTGTTCCAGAGCCTTTAGTGCAAGGTTTTCAGGGGGTCCATGACTTCTTTCTGAGGCCCTTCGCGTTGACCTGGTAGTGAAGGAATTCATTTCTCTAAGTCTGGAGGATTACGTTGACAAGGAAGTTGGGGGAGTAACACACTGCATGGATGGTTGTGATGAAATGGATCGAGAAGTGTCTTTTTTTTTCACCCCCTACTTTTGCCTCATATTTATTGTGACATAATTTATACCTTATGTGGGCTATAAATGAAATATTCTGAATTACAAACCTCAGCAGACTTTGGGTCAGTGTTTCAGCTGCTAATGGAACGCAAAGGAAATTATTTAGATTACAGTGATGAATAGTCGCTTACCGCCAAGATATGACTGTTTTTATTGTGCACCATTTTCCACCTTTAGAATACTGGGAAGAGGCCCACCACCACCATGAACGTAAATCTGTATGTACGTGTGTGCGTGTCCGTTGTGTGCTTGTAAATCAACAATTTAGCATACTTCAGTTAGCCAGATGAGTGGCGAACGGGATGGTGTGCATGTGCGAGTGTTACGGAGGTCACAACAGAAACATCCGTGTGAATGACTGACACGTCTCCCTCCATGTGGTGATCTTCTGCTTGTTTGCCTGCATGTGTTTGCACTTTGTGCACTCACAGCAGAGCTTTGACTAGGGTTTCCTGCTCAGTTTGGCTCAGTCGGCGGCTGCTGCTGCTTCTGCGGTTGCACTGGCTGCCTGAGTGATGAGATCTGGTCAATCTGTCGTTATACAAGGAGGCCGAGCTTTTGATTGCTGTGAAGGGAGGGAGGTAATGCGTTTGGAGAAGACAAGCAAACTGGATAAACTGAACTATTTTGTTTGGAGAAAATTGGAAGAAATGGTATTTGGGGTGAAAGTAAGCAAGCAGGCATGACAAGAGGGTATGAAAGTGCAACAAAAGGGGCAAAAGGGTCAGTTACATGACGGGAGAAAAGACAGGCTGATAGGGTGAAGTGGGGGCTTGGGTTGTTGATGTTGTTGAATGCCTTCTCTCTGAAGGAGTCTGCTTGACTGGCCTGTGCCTTCCACACAAACACACACAGTGACACATCAGGAGGAAGAATGCACTGGCCTGTGGCAATTCGGTTTGACATCTGTTTGAACTCAATTGATCTGTTTGACAGATGGGAGAAGTATTCCAAAAGTGGCAAAGGCTATTAGACAAGGTCTTGTGGGGGACCAGGAGGATCCAGAGCGGTTCAACACAACTCCTGCCAAAGTTTCAGTACAGCCTGTCATCCCATAAAATTTACCGAACAGGGCAGCGTAGTTCTGGCTAGACAAGTGAAGCAATTTTTGCTAATTTGATGAACAAGGTGTTCAATTCCCACTGGATGGTAGCAAGAAGTTGAAGTAGAAAAGGAGCAGGCCTGCCAAAGTTTTAAGCAAACATTGGCTGGCTTTATTTTAGTGAGTGTAAAAGTAGGAACTTTAATCTTACTTGGAGTCTATAATATCTGCGCTAACAGTGTAGCATAGGTCCATGAGGACATCCAAGGTCAACCATCACCTTAATAAAACACACAAAACTATTTCACCATATTATTGCACCTAAATACTAATTACTTTAGATTGAGTAATTAATCGAAAGTAATTACTTCAGATTACTTTAGATCTAAAGTAATCCAAACAAGCTGTCCAGCATGTTTGGTGAGCTGGTTTTGAGATTGGGTAATTAGATGCAATATTGAGTAATTAGACTCCTGAGCACAGGAGCCTGTGCTAAAGTCAGAGTTTAACAAAAATACTTGTTTTAGGATACCTGAATAAACTGAACACAAAAGCTTAACCAATGATTTGCCCCTCTCTAAGCTGGCTCATAAATCATCAGTCAGACTGGCCATAACCTGCAAAGATGTTTGGCTGCAAGAATAAAGTGAAAGCAACAGATGCTCGGAGTCGATGTAACTCATTCCACACAAAATAAGTGTCAGATATCTCCCTTTGTAAGGCGGATCTATTATGCACGTTTTGCATGTTTTTGTATATCCAGTTGGGTCTCAACTGCTTCTAAAAACAGCCCAAGCACTTAACAAAAAATCACCTATCCTTTTGTTGGCAATAAGCTAATGTTTTTTGGTGACTGGAAAATGAGCCGTTTCAAAAACCTCCCCAATTGTTCAGTCAGAATCGATGAGCACTGGACCACTACCTAGCATCCTCAGTAAAGCCCTGCCGCTCATATAGCCTTCCCAGTGGTGGTCAGCTGGTTTTACCTCTGTGTGCTCTGCGCAATTGCTACTGGCAAAGACAAGTGTTTTGTTGTTGACTTATTATCTAGAAGCCACTTGCTGGATTATTGTTGATTGTGCAGGAGTCTTCACTTCTGCTTTTCAAAGATGTACAGTTGTATATTTGCCCATCTGTCTGCAGCCATTTTCATGTGCGAATGTGATCGTTGAGTTGGGTGAGAACTTGGCCAGCGGCAACTTATTTGGATTTAAAGTGACAAGAGACCCTAAAACAGCTCATTCTGAAAGGAGCTGAAAATGGGTAGGACTGAGCAGACTAAAATCTCATTATACAAAGATGATTTTGTGCAAAAAAAAAAAAAGAACATGTTTTGTAGAACCCATAGATCTATCCTAACTTGTTCAACGAAGCATAATATGTCAAACACTTTTCACTTTATTTGTATTATTGCTACAGGAACTACTGTTAGCTGAAGTCCAGTGACCTGCTCTGTCTTGGTGCACTTTACAGTGATCTATTTATTTTAATAGAAAGAAATTGTTAGTGCAACAATAGTGACATGTTGAGTTTGCTTTGTAAACCCCTGGGCACTTTGTTGCAAATATGGTCTGTCATCGCCACATGACACCCAAAATGTACTCTCTGTTCCATAAATTATTTGAATGGGGTTGCGACTACTTCATTTTATGTTTCGAAGGGGTAACAGTGGCAAGTTAACTTTAACCCACCCCGTTCTGTTTTTGTTCTTTCAGAAACAGATTATACGTAGGCTTCTACAACTGTAAGCGTGCTGCTAAAGAGGCTGCAGATAAGTGTTTTT